TAATAATATAGCCTCTCAGCTTATTAACTTTGATGCCAACAATTGACGGATGCTGTTTAAGACGTTGGAAATGAACTGGAACCAGTTTCTTGAAGTTATTAAATATCCCTGATCATCCTGAGAGCAGAAATCTTTCCACTTGGTACCTTTAACTTTAGTCGTGCCCTCTCCTCTCACCGCTCTACGTTATCAGCATGTGACAAAGTTTGATTGCAGATCAACACCTGGAGATGGGAGCTGCAGCGACCTAGAGTATCTAACCAAGTGGTTTAACAGCTCGACCGTCCCTCGTTCCTCTCTGTCCACTAATGCAGCTCTTAACACTCTCATCACCCCTCGCTTTAACCCTCATTAGCTTATCAGGACAAGACAAAAGGGAATATTAACACTGCCTAGACAGCTCAGGGGCCAAGCTGAGGTGTCACATCTCGATAGCAGCGCTCCATATCCTCGTCCACTTTTACACCTCTGTAAGCCTCTCATTGCCTTATCATCTTAAGACAATACCCCTCCTTCACTTCTACCACCGGAGTCAGTGTATTTACCGAGGTTCCCCAGTGGTCAGCCATACGACACCTGAGGCTCAAATACACGATGGCGGAAACTTCACCTCCACCCCTCTGTATCCTCATTACCTTATCTCCAGGAGACAAGGCAGAGCAGAGGTAGCTTTAGTTAGCTTAAGGTCTGACTGATTGACTTTGCTAGCTTTTGGATTAGCTGTGCAGCTAACGTGGCTCCTGCAGGCCAAGGTGAGGGCTGCCTTAATGCAGCAGCTTTGGGGCTGAAAGCTGCCTAATTTCAGCTTCTATCGCCGTTAGCAGGGCTTCAGGAGGCTTCGCTGGAGGCACAGTGAGTGGCTGCTAAGACAAAGTAGCGTGAGGTTAATCCCTGCAGTGGAGGAGTCAGAGGGTATTAGTGGATATTTAAATGAAGGGACCGATTCACACCTGTTTCTTCAATGTGGTTGAACATAGATTATTTCTTCAGCAGGTTTTCAAAGACGCATATGCAAGCACACGCATTTGAGAAACTATGAAAAGTACAGCAACTGTGGGATTATGGCCGAGGCGAAATATATACGACAAACAAACCCTACTTAGATCAGAAGGAAATTACTGATGGGGCATTTCAGTGGTTTGGTTGCAACACAATGAAGTGGCAGCATGAATTTCAAGGCCATCGCCCTGCGTGTTTCTAATGTGCTGTTTAAATGAAAATTCAGTTTAAGAAATAGGGGAGTTCGGTTGAACGGACCGAGGACCGAGCATTCCTGCAGCAGTCAGCAGGTTCACGTCCGACCAGGCCCTTTATTGCATGTCTTTCCCGAGCAGCCCTATCCTATCAAATCATTAATGCCCAAAAGACTGTGTCACAAAAAATTAGGAAAGTCTCCTACATGGTTTACATTTATTCACCCCACACATGTTGTTCAGTTCCTCATAAGCAAAGGAAGAAGAAACACCCGTACATTGTCTATACCTAAATCAGTAACAACCAGCTCAGATCTTTTTATGATCACACATTTCACATGTCAGTACACGGCAACTTATAATACACAGGTGTTCTCACTCATGCTGTTTTGTTTATGCTGTCAGACAACTGCACGTGTGACAAGTGCAGATTTTATTGCAGGTCTCATTGGAAGTACCCTGGCATTACTGTCAGCCTTGAAGAAAAGGCGGCAGTTATGGCTTTGATCGTCTCAGTGTGTTGTATTTATGCGGCGGCACAAACAGAAAGACGTATCAAAGAATTTGATCGGTGCTGAATTTGCTCTTGAAACAAATCAAAGAGAAGTAGGAAAAAACTGTTTTCTTACCGTTAAGGTTTTGGTAACACAAGAGGTTACATTTCAACATGAATGTCACCCAAAACACACATCAGCTCCCAATTATCACACACATGCATATGGCAACATTAGAGAAATGTCCTTTTCTTCATATTTGAGTTAAACCTCCTACGCTCAGCTGTACATTCAACACATTCACAATCAAACTCCTCGTGTGGAGTAACCGGGGGAGTCGGGGTTCATAGGTTAAGCACAGAAGCTGTCCAAATCAGTAGGTCAGCCAGTTGACGGAGGAAATGATGGGCTTAATGACTGGCTGCTGCTGCAAATGACTGCCTGTTCGCAGCTAGCTGGGTGGAAGAGAAGCCTGACTGACAGATGTGCACACACACACACACACGCAGGTGCACTCACACACATCAACCGATTACAGATGAATTCAGACATCTGTCTCTCCTGTTCGATGAGCTGTAATTGGTGGCAAGACCTACCATCTAGTCCTGAGCACCGGAGGCCCCGCCCACTACTTTAACAGCCCATTAGCAGTTATTAGAGGGTCCTCAGGGAGCTGCACGGGTCACAACGCACCGCTAACCCAGCACAGATTAATGACCTATGAGGTTTAATAGAGGCAATGCTAGTACGATTAAATAAAAATCAATGTCTGACACTAAAGAGTTGAAAAAAATTACAAAAAACAAGAACTAGGTTGAAATAAAACATACTATATTTCTATTTACCAAAAGTCCCAGTGCAACATGAATGTCAACATAAAAAGGATTTTATTGCAACTATACAGGTTTAGAATATATTTCAAAATGCTGCCTCTGATTGTTTATAACTCCCTGATCAGTCTTGAGCCAAAGTACACTTTATATGCATAAAGATATAAACCCAGGAAACTGCTGAGAGAAGATGTCAGCTGATGATAAAAGTAAAGCATCGTCAATAGACAGTGGATCTTTACAGGATTACGATATTTGGGACAGTGAAGAATCGTATTTTAAAAGTTAAATGATTAAAAAGAAAAAAATGGAAGTTATACAGTAACCTAAAACATTTTCAACTTGCAAACACACACACACACACACCCACACACCCACACACACACCCACACACACCCACACACACACACAGGATGCGAAAGGTTGAGACGTGAAGCAGTGACGCATGCTGTGTGACTAAGTGACTGGAACCCTCCAGACACACTGACTCTGCCTGTATGTGGCACCAACAAGATAGCTCATTACCCATTCTGTTCCAATTGAATTTTAACCAGCATATTTGTTGCGGTGCAAATTCTGTCATTTCAATATGCCAACAGAGAATTCAGCTCATTTGAATATGGCTCACTTGTTTATTCTTCCCTGAATAATAAAAAAAAAAAACCAGGTGAAGGAAATGAGGGGGGGTTTTACGGTGTGATGGAACTCTTCAGTGGATTAACTTCAACAGATTTTTATTTTCCCCTTAATTTTATATATCAAACACATGGATCAGTCTGTAGGCTATGTGACAATAATTCAAAATGATTAGAATAATTACGCTTGGGCCAAAACAAGTGTCTGAAATGTAATGAATGGGTGAATGGGTTACTACCCAAGTAAAAAAAATGGCCACACACAGTTTCACATCCTGTTGCTTGTAGTTCGTTGACAAAGAAAAGTGGTTGAACTGTTGATCAGCATTAAAGGAAATAAAGAATATCACTCCCTGTTGTCTAATTAACTCCTCATATAAGAGACCACCAACAGTTTACTCAGGAGTGAGCACAGTGCATCTGAGATTTACATTGTGACTGGTGCTGTATGTTCAGAGACTAACTTTCCATTTATCATCACTGAGGGAGTGACGAGAGAAACTACTTGCCGTGGATACAATATATTGTGCATACAATTTGAGTTGAAACCATTTAGGTGAAAGAAAAATAATCAAATATTTTCATCAAAAACGAACTCATTTCTCAGGGTTCCAGATTCTCTTTAATTTGATCTGCATCAGGACACTTCACTGTGGATCATCACTTAGATGTGAAACAGTCCTTCAGTGATGGCATCATCTTCAGTTGCACCCTGAACCTGCAAACTATGGCTTCTGAAGTAGAAACATGTCCTGAGTGACTGATCTACAATCCCAACATTCACAATAAAGGTCAGGATGTAATATCTCCATTAATAACCCCCACAGAATTACCATCATCTGATGATTCCATACATTCCAGTCTTGATACAGCAGTTCTTGAATCAGAGAATTGTCTGAGTTGGTAAATATTGATTTTCCTGTACAGTGAACTTCTGCTTAAGGTGAAGTTACTCTTTAACAACAATTTCATCTGAGACAAAGTTTCGTCATCAGAAAAACAAAACTAACTTCAGTCTTTGATCAAATCAAAGTGTCATGTACAGTCAAAGTTTGATCTCATGATTGTTGCTATCGGCCTGCAACACACGGATATTTCTCAGGCAACCACTTCAGAAACAAAGTGACTGTTCCACCGGCTGAATTTAGTTCCTGTTCACTTAAACTGACTGTGTTTTCACTGAAGTGGCATATTGTCTATCTTTCACCAGATATTTGAAGTTATTATACCTGACCATATGATATGTAACAACCTTAATCTATTGCTTATGATTAGGATAGAACATTTTAAAACCACCCAACCATCTCTGCATGACGCTGACAGACATGATTGACATCTTGTTACCAGAGTACCAGTGTTGTATCAACACTAACATGCAGTATCAGGGCATCAAGAAGTATTAGTCCAGGATACACACTGGAATCCTATTTGACAAATCTCTAAATTCAAGAAAATCTAAACTGATAATGTTTGTCGAAGTGTAGGAATGAGTTTGAACACAACACTACTCAGCAAATGATGCATCATATAGACCAACTCTCACACACATATACAGTACACAGGAAAAAAAACTTAACATGGATTATATGAATAATTTCATTGATTGTATTCGCTACAGAGACTTTAAGCATTCACCTTAATTTAATTTGATACAGAGACATATCATGGCACATGAGATTTACATGTGAGGGCGCAGAAGCAATGGCTGAGACAACTACTGACTAACGAGAGAAATAGTGTCAAAGTGATATAGACGCTGTAGAGTACATTGAAAATGTGTGTGTGCAGGAAGCAGAGGATAGAAACAGTAAATCTGTGATGTCTATGAAAGAAAATGTTGTAACTCACCACTCGCTGTAACCGTGGAAGAGACGTCAGGTAACAGTCCACGCACTGTGATCCAGGGACTCGTCTGCAGGCCAGACACAAACACACTCCTCATCAAAACACACGTTAACGACACGATGTCAAAACTAACTTCAAGAATGACTGCCAGTGATTAAAACATCAGAACTGAATCTAACGTAGCTGACAGTTGCTGGTTAAACCTGTCAGTGTCTCAAACGTGTCACTCCTCTGAAAAAAACATCTCAGGTGAGAGGAGTAAATTACCTGGATCTAAGTGTCCCAGTGTCTGTGAATCATATTGAACTACTGAGGCGACAAGTCCGTTGACTAAGTTTGTGTGCACAATTGGTAAATGAAAATGCTCTGACCTGTAATAATCCACAGCAGCAGTCTGCCCAGGTGTCACTCAGGTAATAATCCCTGCAGGTAAATGCTGGGTCCGTGATCAGGTGCTCGACTCCGAGTCGTCACAGAGGAAAGAAGGATGAAAACAGTCAGCAAAAATCCTCTTCGTGCTCCGCGTAATCCGTAGCACAATGATCCTTGCAAAATGTTTCTTCTCCTCCTCCTCCTCCTCCTCGGCACCTTCATCTCTCCTTGAGACTCGCTGCGGAGGTGTTACCTCTGAATGGAGGGCCGGACGCACCTGCAACAGGACAACAGGTAAAAGGAGATCAGCAGTCTTCAGCGCAGGTGAAACCATTCTTTCATCCTTCTCCTCAGCATCGATAACTCTGTCTGTTCCTTGGAGTCTCTCTGCCAAGAGTAGCCGGGTACAGCCGTACTGTTTTGCCGCTCTTTGCCAAACGCACAAACACACACACATACACAGAGGAGAGTGTTGTGGGTTTTTTTTTTTTTTTTCAGCAGCCAAGCTAACCCTGAGCCGGGGCCCGGTCTGCCTTTGAGATGCTCTCTAGCCCACAAACACAAGACGGCTTTCATTATCTTGCCCGTCGCAGCGCAAGGCCTAGCTTCTAAAAGCTACTGATTTCTTTCTTCCCTTAGCCCCCTGCACAAAGGGAGGGCATTTTGTAAATTACTTGCTCGTTTCAGACCAACAAAAGGTACTTTCATTGAACCCTCCTCCCCCCCCCACTGCTCTGCCTCTATCCTCCCGCCATTTGATTTTGCTCAAATTTGATTACAAGGCTTGAAAAAGGAGGGGAAGAAAGGAGAAGAGGAAATAAGAAAGCCCCACAGATGGCGTGTTCATTCAGTGCTGTGAATGGCTTTATATGGGCTGCCTTTATACATGTGGCAATCCAAAGACGCTTCAGCCGCTCCGCTAAAAAAAGAACTTGACAAAATTATTGGTTTGGCGGCTTTCTTACACAAGTGACACGGGGAACTCGGAGAAAGAAAAGCCTGCCTCCTCTTTCTCCCTTTCTCTCGCTGTCTTTGTCTCTTCACCTCTCACTCTCTCCAGGTCACACACCTTGATCAAAACAAACTAAATGAGGCGCCTGATTGCGAGATAAAGAGATTGTTTGCCCGCGTGCATGTGTGTTTGCATGTTTTGTCGTATTAATAACTGCCTGCCCTGGGTCACATTCTAAAATATCAAAGGAGCGTATTCAGAAGTATACACAGGAAGGGAATTCAGAAAATGAGACGCACTATGAGCATTAGATTTGCTAAAACACCCACCCATCTTAAATCAAACAGCTCAGACTGAACTTGAAAACATAAGCCAACAGTGTTCTGTTCTCTCGCAGGCTATAATCCTGTTTCCACAATGGACCACTCACTCTGCACTTGTTTTCCTCAGAAGGATAATTATAGGTCTGCAGACACACATACAGCTCCCTTACTATCATTCTAACACACACACACACACACACTCAAAGCAGAGTGTATATTCCAATGCAGAGTGAACCATGACTTCTTATCCCATTACCAAATCATCACACCGACGGCCACTCTGGTCAAAGAAACTAATGGATACAGGAGTCAGTTAATTCCTGGATCCACTGACCACACGCCACAGTTCAGGTCTTAGGCTGTGTGATTCCATCAGTGGGATAAAATAGTTGCCATCACTGAGGTTATAACCACACAAAACACCTGGACATCTTTCACAGGCAGAAATTCAATCATTGTCCGTCCTTACAACCCAGCTCAGCCTGCATTTCAGGAGATCAGTGATTTGAGCTATATGATAATGTCAATGACTACATGCTAACGTTTAACAAACATGATGTTTACCGCAAAGTATTGCAGAGGCAGATGTGAATGTCATGTAATTAAAGTTTGTAGATATACGATCATAAACCAAAGTACATTCGTCCATTATCTATTCTGCTTATCCTTTGTGGGTAGCTGGGGTGTGTGGGGGGAATCTCAGCCGACATTGGGCAGGAGTCGGGATACACCCTGGAAATGTCAACAAACCAACACAAAGCTTATTTCACATTCACACCAATAGGCAATTTACATCTTAGTCAATCACCTAGACTACAACCTAGTCTGGAGTCTGAGGGAAGTAGCTGAAGTACCCATAGAAAGCTGCACTGCTTCGTACCTTGCAACATATCCTGATAGATCATGATGAGCCACAAGCTACAGTTCAACAAAGAACCTTTCTACCCCTCTTCACGGTGCTGGGTCCACAAACTACTCTGTTAGTTCAGCAATGAAGGTCACCAAACGGTTTAATAGAATAACAGAATCATCTGGATATATTTTGTTATAAGTGGTGGACCGACCGACCAACCAACTAACCACATGGCACACCACACAGCCAGCAAAAAACATGGCCCACAAAAGGTGAGAGAGGTTCAAGTGGTCACAGTTTTACCAGATTGTGTCACTGCGGGTGATATCCTACCCTTTCATTATGTGCTCGGAGAATTGTTTTCACGATCGTCCTTTAGAGTCACTTACTGTAAGAGGGCTCATGTAAAATAATCAAACTTGTCACCTGAAGGCATCAATTGCTGAGCCTGACATCACTGTTCTTAAGTTCCTTTAAGAATAATACTTTGAGGTATTAAAAGTGTACCCCTGTGACTATCCCTGATGACATGTTCCGCTTTATTTTTAAACTTTAAAGTGAAAAAATGTACAGTTAGCGATGTGGATTTTTAATCAATAAAACAGAAAAGCATAGTCAACATTTAATATTAGTAAAACTATATATATCTTTCAAAATAAGAGTTTATGTTCCCATTGAAGCTGAAGGTTTATGCATTGCAGATGTTGAATTTTAGACCATTGGACAACACTAAATAAAAATAGCTTGTTTAATAAAAAAGACAAACAAATACATTCTAGTCCTGAAAATTATTTCAGTACCTGACAAGTCAAGGGTTGAACGATACAACCAAAACCAACTCACACACACGCGCACGCACACACACACACACACACACA